TAACTATCATCAGCACATAAATTTACTTTAACTTCTTGATTGGCAATTTAATTCCTCTATTGATAAAACAACAGAAAGAAAACAAAAGGAACAGAGATGAGCTATTGAATATCTTAATGGTCTATATTTTGCTAAAATTCTATTCTAACACTGGTCACTTTTTCTTTTAAGTATGATAAAATAGTCACAATTAATGGTAAGTACTAATTAGATTTTTTTACTTCCTAAATTAGAATTTTTACAACTTTGCAATAATGTAAGAATTATATTATTTGTGTAATGTAAATCTAGGATTTGGATGGGTGGGATTTTGCATAATTCTTTAAATCCCAGAAATCTATGCTTTTTTAAAATCTAGGAATTGAAGATATAAATTAGTTTCATTTATATTAATCACTTCTTGAAACAAAGAATGAACTTTAATAACTTTAACTATTAAGTGACTTATGTTTTAAAAAAATCAATAAAATATATAGAAAAAAAAAAGAAGTTCAGTCCCAAGGCATCTTCCATGTAGCCTCTGACATACATTTACATTCCAAAGAAATTAAAATTACTATGCAAAAGCACAGAAAATTACTAATGATTTTTTAATAAATGCATGTAAATATGCATCCAGTGTATTAAAGCTACAAGTCAATATAAAGGTTAAATGCATGATATTGAGCAAATCTATACTCATAATACATAATACATGATACATAGTGACTTTATCACTATGATGTGTGTTGTGTGCACCAAAGGAAGCAAATAACAAAACATACCTCATTGTTGCAAACCTATAACTTATATCAATGTTGGGAAACAATAAGAGCAAAGTTTCCATCATGACATTGCTATGGTTATGTTGTCATTTTGATATACTATAACCTCAGTTTGGTTTTACAACCATTTGTTCAGCAACTATTCAAAGTTACAATGGTGTTGAGTGAATGATACTGACAACAGTTTCAACCACTGCAGCATTCCCATGGTCTTGTGATCACAATTTCTGACTTCCTGCCACTTCCCACATGGAAAGATAATGGGGAAGCCATAGGGAAGTAAGAAGTCACAATCATGTATGTCTTTGCTTAATGACAGCAACCAGGACTACTGGAATTGCTGCCACTAAGTAATGTGGCCAAGTGACATTGCACTTTATGACTGCATCACTTAGTGACAGAATTTCCATCACAACTGCCATTGTAACACAAGGACTATCTGTATTTACATGTAGGTAACACACCAAATGTGTACTGAAGAAAGAGAACTATGTGTAGTATATCTGCAAGTACAATTTTATGTAGACAGACAGGTTAGCCTGATGTTAAAATCTGTCATAATAAATCACTATTAAATCATCATCATTATTCATAGTACTATAGAATAATACTGTGACCTAAGGTGAACATTTTCTAAGTTGCAGAAGTCACATAATTTGCTCTAGTTAATGAGATGAGATTGTTTTAATCAACTTCACCATCTAAAATTGCATATGAAATATTTTATTAAGTGTCCATAAAAGTCACAAAGCTTAAAGGAGGTTAATCTGTGATAATGTGTATTTTAATTAGCACATGCCAATACAGTGTTAGCAAACATACACATTACATTACTTGGCAAATTGCCATCGGGAGAAAAGTAAAATTTGACAACTTGTATTTTGTATAATTATATTTAGCAAATCACTGTTTTGTACTTTGCTAAAGATTATCTTTCAACTTTTCAAAAGGTGATAAAGTCAATTACATTGACAAGTGAAATAGGTTAAATTGCATACCTAAAACAAAACAGGTAGCTAATTAAAATAGTTGAAATTGCTTCAAGGCTTAGACTGAACAAGAATAGTCTTGCCTTTCCCCAAAATTTGAGCTTTTTTTAATCTGACCTTAGCTACTAAGTGAAAGATAACCTTTATAAGATAACCTTTAAGAAGTGGGTCCTTCCTAAGAACATGATGAAGAAAAATATTTTAAATGACAGTTGTACAAGACTTGCAGTTTCATTTTAGAAAATACCATTAATTTTGACAAAATGAAGTTAAGTATGTATACTGTCAATTTTTAGAGAAAAAAAATATTGTATCTCTAATAATTTTGGCAGGGTTTTAGGAATCAGCATTTTTAGTATATTTTGTACTTCATACACATCAGCAACATAATCTTAAAGATTGAAGCAATTGTTAATTCCATATTAATGGAATTATCGGTTGTGTTTGTGGAAGCTATAAAGAACCTATATATAATTTTTTGCTCCAAACATACACCATTCACATTCTTGATATGGAAATTCTGTATCTTCCTTCAATACAGTCAAATATAAAAGATTAACATTTGCTAAAGTGAATGCTGTTGTGTGTGTGGATAGAAAGAATACTGGAGAAATCACTATTACAGTAAGAATTTTGGAACTATCATTTTGCACATTCAGATCAAGGACTCTGCTTATCCTCCACAATGGTTTTGTTAAATTCAAGCATTATTAGGGATTTTATGAGACTAACAGTTTTCTTGGTAAAACTATTGCAACTTTAACAAAGACAAAGTCCAAGAGATACACATTTCTTTCCTGCAAAAAACTGTCATACAGTCTTAAAGGGACATCAAAGAAAAGGAAGAAACTTTTAAATTCATCCAGTTTACCAAGACATAATATACATTTTAAAGAATGGTTTAGCTGGTTGTACAAATGCAGTAGTTGTTTCTAAGCTATGTTTATGATCAATTTGGCTTATACATCAATTGATGTTTAAGCAAACTATGTTTTAATATGAATACAATCTAATAATAATAATGTTACAGAACTGGCGTCTGGTCACCTAAGGAGATTTTCCTTTTCCCTTCCACACATGCCTCCCAATGTGCCCTGGGGGTTCTCTTATATTTGACTGACAGGCCTACAGAGGAACTGTGAGGAAAGAGGAGAAAATCCATTCTAACTAGTGTGGTACATATTAAAGATTTTAGAATTTTTTTAATCAACCAGAACAGATTCCAGACTTATTAAAGTTACACTATTTTATTCTTCTCTGATGGAAGAACAACTTCAATAATATAGATTTCCTAGGATAAAGAAAAAAATTACTAAGAGTTACATAAGTGTATTGCTAGAGGAGCAAGATGGTAACAGAAGGATTTCTGGTAACTTAATCTGAAACACTACACATTCCCTCCCTCCCCCCATTGTTAGCTAGCTTTTTTCATATTATAATTCAACATAGGCTTTTCTATTTGTAGATATTATAAAAATGATAATTTGTCCATTTAGTGTTTTTACATTTTTTGCTTCTTTCCCATATTAGTACATTACTAAAAAAAAGTAGGTAGTAGTATACTGCAGGAATTTTTATTTTTTCAGATTTGTGACTCAATTTAACCTGCATCATGGAATCATTTATGTAGCAAAATGCAACAGGTTATACATTCCAAGTAAATACTATTTTCTGTAGGAAGGAGAGTAGCCTAAACATTTTATCATACATATATCTTCCCCATGTCTATATGAATTAACTTTTCTGATTCTTTAGTATGACTTATTTTAGACACCATATTCTTGAATCAACAAATGGATAATCTTTCCTTCTTTCTTAATGATTTTATTATTATAAGATTTTCTACCTTCTCAAATAAATTACAGCAATATCTCAATATTTCAACAGTTTAGTGACAGTTTTGTACAGTGACCATTCAGTTATGACAGTGATGGAAAAAGTAATCTTGCAATCGAGCCTCTTGTTTGTAGCCTTTGCAAGTCTGTAAAGCTAAGCAAAGCTGAAGATCACAAGTACAATCACAGTTTCACTTAGCAACAGCTTTGCTAAATGGCTACATTAATGGTCTTAATTATAGTCACTAAATGAGGGCTGCATGTATTGTTAATGTATGTAAGATAACATAGAGATTTGCTAAGCTGGGCTTCATCCAACATTACAAGGGGAGATTTACACCCAATTCCTCTTCCTAAAAGTAGTTCATGACATAAGCACACTCCAAAATCCCCAAATTTCCTTTTGGAAAGAGGAGTTGCTTGGACATTACCCCTGAATTGTATCTGAAGAGGGAAGAAAGGAGAGGAGAGAGAAAAGAGTAAAGGAGGGGGGAAGAAAGTAGGAAGGTTGGAGGAGAAGAGAAGTGGGGAGAAAGGGGAGGAGGGTGGTGAAGAAAAGAGGAGAGGAAGAAGAGGGAAATAGGAAAAAAAGAGAAGAAAGGGAGAAAGAAGGTAGAGAAGAAGGAGTGTGGATACAGTGAAAGGGGAAATGGGCGAGCAATACCAAAAGTCATGTGTATGTATTTATTTCATTTTACTAAAAGTATCTTATATATAAGAATGTAAAAAGAATGTATGTTAACATCTGATAAATATCACGGTATATGTATGGGAGAGAGTTTGGAAAAATAAAAAATTAAATAAAAAAAATCCCCAAATTTCCTGAAGCAGATGAGGGAGGCGAGATCAAGGAATTGATTCATTTCACCTGATGGAATAACATCTCCTAATGCTATTAGATCAGGGATGTCAAACTGCTGGCCCGTGGGCCGGATGCATCACAAGGAAACTGCACCCACCCCATTGCCGGCAATGGGGAAAAAGCTCCGATACGTTGTGCGACGTCATGTGACATCGTGAGTTTGACATATCTGCATTAGATATTCACTTAAAGTTTTAATATTTTTAGAAGTTTAGAAAGAATTAGGTGTTTTATATCATTTTGATAGAGTTTGAAGTCTTGTTTCAAATAAAGCCTTAGAATACTTTCCAAGATTTGTATTAAAATGGAAATGTTTGGACAGTAAAAACAATTTAGCAATTTGAATAAGGTAGAAAAATACATTCCACTTTCAACTTTAGTTATTATGGGAATTGACAATGATCCAGGAATGGAAAACAATCATATAAAGGGAACACACCATTCAAGTAAAAATAGTGATATACTTCCCAAAATATTTTAATGAGAATTTAATAATTTAATGCATGTACAATTGCTAGCAAGTGTGATATTGGAAAAATATTATACTAACCAATAAGAAGAAGGGTTCCAATTGCCAAACCTCCACCTGAGAACCAAAGGAATTTAATAAATAAAAATAGTTTCCAAGAATTAGTAGTATCAAAGAAAGATGATACATGAAGATAATAGTGCAATGTGAAAAACATTTTAATTACCTGCCTATTTTTTTTTACAGTTCATTCATACTACCTATAATTACATATCACAATGTAGTCTACAATTATTTTAATGATATAATAAAAAGATCTTGCAAGGCTCTGTGAAATTTAACTTAGGTTCTTTAATAGTATTACTACAGTCTAAATTCTTTTGTTTCAGTCAGAATATTATGCACATGTAAAATAATGCCTTTTGAGCAATCATTTGAATATAAGATACAGTTAAACATTTTTCAATGATTTATCCAGACCCGATGCTAATATGCAGTGTGTTATTTGTACCAAATATTCATTATTGATGAACACAAGTTTCTTCAACAAGATGTTCTTCAGCTGTATTAGAATTTAAATTTCCCTAACCCATATAGAAACTGAACTCCAACCAGTCATAAAAAACTAGTTGGCAAAGAGCTGGCAAAGATTATGTCCATTTATCTTGGCATTAACAGAGATGCAGCAACAGCCATAAAAAAAATCACTTAAGCGTAAAATTGATCCCTTTTCTTGCAGTTTTGCCTATAATCAATAGCCATATGGTTGGTGAATGCAAACTAAACTGTTAACCGCAAACAAAGTTTCATACTTCTGTGTTTTAGGCTGTATGCTTCTGTTTGGAGGAGGACTTCTAGAATATTTGTGTGTAAAATGGCAGCCAGGATTTTACGCATATGTGAAGTATGATTTTTACAAGATAATTTTACAAGATCAGCATGACTTCATTATCTATATTGTTAGGTTGCAACTGCTACTTATAATGAAATTGCTTATAAGGACTACTTATATGTGAACAATAAGTTAACCTCTTCCCACTACAACTCTATAAAGCAGATTTTAAAGATTTACTGGGGAGCGAAAAGGAAATTAAAAAAATAAAATGCTATGTTAGCAGAAATATGCATGTTTAACATTATATTTTACCAACTGTAATTTTCTAGATTAATAATAATTTATTTCAAGACCTACTTTTAGTCAGAAAACTATTTATTAAACCAAATGTTAATAGATTGTTCCTAATCTCAGCCCTAGGAAGTAGGCAGTGGCAAAACACTTCTGAAAAGTCTTGCCAGGAAAGCTACAGTTGTTCAGGCAGTCTCTAAGAATCAGACACAACTGAAAGGAAGAAAGAAAAATGAAACTAAAAGTTATTTTAAAGGCAATAATTCTGCTTCCATTCTGAAAAAAATCATCTAGTAGAAGGACAAGGATACCTTTATTATATCCATATTACTTCTCTCTATTAACATAAAAATATCAACATTGTATATGTTATACATATATCATATGACATAAATGCATTTCTAATGCATTTGTTTACTTACAATATAATTCCCATTAAAATAGTATAGAAATATAGATACAACTTGGTATCATATAGTATTTCCTGCTCCATTCAGGTATCTACTTAACCATTCTACTTAATCATTTCCAGCAGGTGGACTTCAACCTACTGTTTGAAAGAGGAACACAATGTTCTAAGTAAGCACTTATATTGTTTAAAACATCTTCCCATAAATAATTATTTCCCAATTTTTAGCCTGAATCTTCTTTAATTTGAAACTATTGGTGAACATTTTGATCTAAGTTTTAATTCATAATAAATATACCGTACAACCTTTTGCAATGACACCCTTTTAGATATCTGTGGACTGCTGTCATACTTCTCCTCTGTCTTTCCTTTGCAAGACAAGATTTAATCAAATGTTTAATTGTTGCTCATATAGCTTGCTTTCAGCACCATTATCCTTCTGATATCTTGTCTTTGAATCCACTCCAGCTTTTCCATATCTCGTTCAAAACGTACTGCCAAAATAGGATAGAGTTCACCACCTCTACAGATAGTATAATGAAGTTATTATCTCTGATATACACAATACAAGGCTTTTGTTAATGCCCAAATATTCTATTGCATTACTTGTTCATATTCATATTCAATCCACAGGTGCTATATTTTTCTTATGAACAGTGTGATTAAACAGAACTAGTATCTGCCTGATTTGATCTGGCAGGACTGGCACACTGAGTTCCTTTGATTAAACAATGCCATCTATTGGGACCCTAGAAGTGCACCTTGTCTATAGCAGCACTTTTCATATGGAATAAAGATCCAAGATTCCAAGATCCCGATGACCTAATATCAGGTAATAGATGTTTCAAATGCCTTGAAGACTGATTCTTCACCCATACTTTTGGTAGAGTAAATGAAGCCCCCTTTGGTTTTTTCTTTCATTCTGTTCTGGATGTTGTTATCCTTGCCATCTTTTACTCTTTTATTTTTTTACCTATTATTGTATTTTTTTCTCGTTTTCATACTTTTACTTGTCAAGCATCCTGAGACTTTGGAAGGCATATAAATGTAATAAATAACTCTCCAATCTGGTACCAATGCATTTGATTTTTCTTATTTAGATGTAGCATCTACACTTACCAGAGCTTAAATCATCCTACCATATTGGCCCAGCATTCAGGTCTACTTATGAATTGATGAAGTTAACTTCCAAGGCAGTGGTTCTCAAACCACAACCTTGTAAAGAATAAAAAGAATATGTGTGTGCCAAATAAAAGTAAACAATAACATTTCTGCAATTCCGAAAGATGGCTAGGCCCACATCTCATAACTCATTCTAGGTTTTGCTCCCTGCCAGGCCTGTGCAAGCCTGCAATGGGATTGCCCAGAGAAAGCAGAAGAAAGTTCTGACAATGCTCCAGCTTTATTTATGCAACACGTAACAGTTTTTTTAACCTTGACTTACAATTCATTTAGTGACTGAAGTTACAAGGGCACTAAAAAGTGACTTATGACCCTTTTTCACATTTACAACTGTTGTAACATCCCCATGGTCACATGTGTTTACATTTGGATGCTAGACAGCTGTTTCATATTTATGATGGTTGCAGTGTCCCAGGGTCATGTGATCCCCTCTTTTGACTTTCTGACAAGCAAAATCAGTGGGGAAGCCAGATTCACTTAAAACCGTGTGACTAACTTAACGAGTGCATTGATTCACTTAAGACTGTGGCAAGAAAGATCGTAAAATGGGGCAAAACTCACTTAACAAATTTCTCATTTAGAAACATAATTTTTGGGCTTGTGGCTGTAAGCTGAGGACTACTTGTATTTCATCCCACCTTTACTTGTGATTCCTTGTTGGGGTCATGAGCAATGGTTTTAAAATTCCCAATTTAAGATATTTGTCAAATTTGTCCTAGTATCATAGGGCTGGAAGGGACCTTTGAGGTCTCCGAGTCCAACCCCTTGCCCAAGACAGGAGATCTTGTTTCATCCCTGTCAAATGGCTATCCAATTTCTACCTGAAGACCTCCAGTGATGAAGCATCCACAACTCCAGGAAGACCCACAAATACAAATTGACACAATTATTGATAGCGGGTTTCCATTTTGATTTTGTCTACAGCAGGGATGGCGAACCTATGGCACGCATGCCAGAGGTGGCACTTGGAGTCCTCTCTGTGGGCACGTGTGCTGTCGCCCCAACCCTGCCTCCCCATGCTCTCACCAGCAGCCCCCCCCCCAGAAAGTCATCCCCAGGCGTGGCCCATGTGGAGCAGCGTAGCTAAGGACATGGCAGCCGGGCAGCAGGGACAAGACTCCACCCTTGCGCCCCTTCACGTGCAGTTGATGGTGTGGGGTGTGGGCGGAGGGCATGGCTGCCATGGTGCTGCAGGGCCACCTGGGCGATCTGCTGTGCCGGGCCATGGAGGCAGTGGGCGGGGGGGGGGGCGGAACAGGCGGTGGAGCTGGGGCATGGTGGTTTTGGGGTACTTGGTCTCTAAAAGGTTCACTATCACTGGTCTACAGCAACAGCAACAACCAGCTGTCATTATCCTCCACCACTACCTTTCCTTTGAAAAGTCTTCCTATGGAAATGGCTTGGGATGAAACTGAGAATCTATAAAACTGTAGAGCTAATTGAAGAAGAAAAAGGTGGCATACGAAAGTTTCTGATTTATTTATTTCAGTTTTACAGAATCAGGATTAAAATTGGTGCATATTTTGTTATTGCTGAATGTGTTGTTTCTTATTGTTGGATGTACATCAACATTTGATATTTTTAACTTGATATCATGTGCAAATCTAGTTACCATCACTTCTATTCCAGCTTCTGGTATAATTTATAAACAGTAAGTGTAAAAGCCTTGTTGATTGCATCCATGTCAATGCAAAAACATCTAGGAGCTTCATGATGAGGTTGTTCAACTAGCTGCAAATTAACCAAACTGCATTATCATTTTAGACCACATTTGTTCATCTTCTTCATCAAAATAGGAGACATCTTGTCTAATCCTTTACTGAAATCAAGGTACACTGTACTACTTCGGATTTCTTTACCGGGCGGGGTGTTAGACCAGCTGATCTCCAAGGAACCTCCCAATTCTTAGATTCTATAACTGTATATCCATAGCATTCCTTTCATAAAAGTATTCTTGTCTAGCACTTATTGAGGAACCCATGTGGAAGCATGTTATATTTTCAAACTTAAGCACATATTACATTTCAAAGATACTATAATTTATTGCATTTTAAACAATTTTATATTTAAATAAGAATGAGCAGGATTTTAACAAGAGCTTCAACAGAATTCTTAAAAATTCTGCAATGTATGGGATACTGTATATTTCTAGGTAGAAGTTATACTGTTAAATATAATATAAATACATTATTGTATTTATGTAAAAAACTTTCGAAGTATCTTCTATTAACTCCTCTACCCCCCAATTAGGCATTTCACTTTCTCAGGCATTTAGTTTTAGCCAAATTAACGTTTAAGTTGATCTTCAGAAAACTCTGTTATGAAGCAAGAAGCATTATCTTTCTGGAGTCTGTAAAATAGACATAGAAATTAAATCATCTTCTGGTTTATGAGACATTTTACTCTCCAATTGCAGCCATCCCAAACCCATGAGTTACAAAATTCTGATACAGAACATATAAGTTGAGTCAAGGCTCTGGGTTGAGACTGATATACAGGCAGTCCTCAATTTCTGACCACAATTGAGTCCAAAATTCTGTTGTTAAATGAGACATTTGTTAAGTGAATTTTGCCCCATTTTGTATTTCCTGCCACAAGTTAAATGAAATCAATGCAGCTGGTAAGTTAGTAATCCAGTTGTTAAGTAAATCTGGCTTCCCCATTGACTTTTCTTATCAGAAGGTTGCAAAAGGTGATCATATGATCCCAGGACACTGCAATGGTCATTAGTACAAACCAGTTGCCAAGCATCTGAATTTTGATCACATGATCATGGAGATTCTACAAAGGTTGTAGCTGTGAAAAATGGCCATGTCACTTTTTCAGTGCCATTGTAACTTTGAATGGTCACTAAATGAACTGTGGTAAGTCAAGGACTAGTTGCACACTACACCAACCATGTGAAATTCAAAATATGCAAAACATAGTACTGCCTGGAACAACTCAACAGGTTTACTTGTTTTAAATCACAAGCCTCAGGTTACACACAAGTCTAGTACTAAAGAATCCACACAGAGCCACAATGTGAAGTAACTGCTGCACATATCGTTTAAAAGCAGAGAGAGAAGGCAGACGAGGACTGCATTTGGGTTCTGATTCTTGCATGCCCCTTACAAGACACAACTTTTTTTTTTTTTTTTTACAAAGGCAACCTCTCCGTTCTCCAAATTCAGAAGTTTTCTCCGGAGCTACTGCTCCGGCGAGGAATCCGGGCGTGCAAATGCATCGGTTCCCCAACCCATCCCGAAGAAACAGGGAGCGTTGGGATTCGCCCCGCAGGAGGGACTACCTTCCCACGCGGAGGATTCAGGAGCCGCTTCCTGCTCTTTCCTCTCTCACGCCTCTTAAGTTGCTTGACTACCTTGCAGCAGGCAAAGCAAAGACCGAAGGGGCGGGGAAAAGGGAGCTACAAAAATATTGGGCAGCGCCGTTAGCACCAACCTAAAACAGAGTCCAGAGAAGGGACGCCGCTGGAAACCAGGAGCTGACCGTGTCGCACCGACGGTCGGGTTCCTGGCAGAACGGCCAAGCGGCCCCCTCCGCTCTCCGGCACTTTCCTTTGGAAACTCGTCGTAGACCTTTCCCTCCGCGCCAGTCCTTCGGTCGCCAAGTCCGCCATCTTAGTTTCTGCTCAGTTGACAGGAAAGAGATGAACGCGGGGGAGGCGTGTCGTGCACCACTCGCCGAGCCAATGGGAAGAGCGATTGTTGGCAGGCAGAGACGCTTCCTTTAGAGCAGGTGAAAAGAGAGCAGTCTCCAGCCCTCCACCAGACTGTGGTGCCGAAAGGTGAGTGGGTATCTAGCTGTAAAAAAAAGGAGACCGAAACATTCTTTTGGGCCGTGATAAGAACGGCAAGCTGTAATTCGGTTCTGCTGGGGAGAACGTAAGGAAGGGTTTTTTTTTTTTATTTTTACTTCTGCGACGAAGCGTTCTTCCTCCCGTGTTTACGGCCAGGGACCCTTCTAGGGTGGTCGGTTGTAACGGAATAAAAATTCGCCACACTTGACTACGAGGCAGAGTTATTCCGTCCCTATGGATGGCGAGTTGTTGAGAGAACTTAATTGCAAAGCTGAATCGTATATGTACTTTATCTGAGAATAAAGAGGCATGCATGGGATGGGGCAGCCCGGCGGTAATCGAAAGCCTTGTTAAAAAGAACCGAAGCTTTGAAAAAAAATTTTTTTATATACAAATGAGAATACTAGCAAAGTCAATTTAGAATATATTAGGGGACTAGGTTGCAAAATCTCTGCAGAGATTTCTTTGAGGTTAAGGGCGTTGAGTACCAAGACTGCAAAATAATAATAATAAAAAAAACCAGCCTATCATTCTGCCACAGCAGCCTTGAATGATTGTTTTTTTGCTACGTATCCGTATACACCTTATACACTTCCAGTTGTTTCATATGGCAGGCGAACTTTTAATGAACTGGTAACGGGCGGTAGGCTGTTGCTATATTGATATCTTCTTTGCCAAAAAAAAGAGAATGAGCTGGTTTGGACCACTACAGGGAGGGAAAAAAAGAATTTTATTTATCAAGCGCCGCTTTGTTTAAACAGGCATTCTAATGTGTGTATAAGAAATGTACTGCTTCTCAATTGAAAAACTGTTTCTGGCCTCTCAGGTAGTAATCTGCTAATGAAGTCATTCTATAGTTAAAGTGACTAGAAATTGGAACTTTGTAAGCAAAACTGTTTCTTATGATCTTAATATACTTTTATGGAATAATATTTTATTTACAAAATAAAGTTGTCAATTGGGTTTGAGTTATTGTTAATTTCAAGTAGGCATTCACAAATTATGCTGCTAGTGTGTGTGTGTGTGTGTGTGTGTGTATGTATATGTAATTACACACATTATCATAGCTACCCATAGCAAAATATGTGTATTTGTTGATCCTCTATAATATCCTTTGTCTGCTTTGCTTTACCTTATATAAAAGGGATATCACAGCAGAATATACTAAATGACATTTAACCCATCTGTGCACCCTCACAACTTTTATTTTAAGCTGACAGCAATTGAAGTAGAACAAGGAATATTGTAGTGATCTATTTTATTATATTAAACATGATTTTTCTTCAAGAAAAAAGTTCTCAAGTTGTGATACATCAGCCAAATAAGAGCTATAGTTTTCATCTGGACCATCATATCTTAAAATATTAATACATATGTTTAAGTCTTATCTTTGATATTGTCTATGATATCTGTAACTAATGGAAGGTGTTGCTTAAACTTTCCTGATGAAATTATGTTTGAAGACTAACATAGCATATATCTGTTTATTCATAGTATGTATCCATAGATTTATCCATGGGTTTATCCATAGTATGCATCCATGAATTTATCCATAGTATGTATTCCTAACATGTATTGCACCTCAGCAGTTTGCTAGTCCTGGTCTTTTCTGATGGGTAGAAAAGTATCTTTGTGCATGGTTTGCTGGATAGCATCACTGATTTTTTTTAACAAAACAAATTGTAGTACAGTTGGCATACAATGGGCTGATTGGTATCTGGTAGGGTACATTACTTCTACTGAGGAATAACTGGAAAGAAATATACCAGAGATCTTCAGTTTGCCTATATATGATTAGGAATGAGCACTGAGAATATATATATATTCTCAGTGCTCATTCCTAATCATAGAAGCATAAGAAATTTTTATATACAAATCAGATATTCCAGTTTGCACAAATTATGAAGTATATCCCTTTTATCTGTATAACTCATTTCATTTAAGCATCATTAGTTTTCAGCAAATACCTTATTGCATTAAAATTATAGAAACATCAGATAATCTTATTATCTTAAATATTTAAAAAGCAGTTTATTCTTGTGTCTTTATACACTAATCACAATTTTATATAAATGTACAAAGTTCACTGCTGAAGATTTAGAAAATATCTCAATCTGAAACAGGATTTTTAATGAATCCATAAAATTCAGCTTACTTATCACAAGTTGTACAAGTCTGATGGTTTAGCAATTCTTATACAGGTTTATTTCACTAATAGGGAGTAACATGTATTTTTATCAAGTTTGTATCTAACAGATATAAAGTCAGTTTAACTAACTAACTGTGGCTATGGAATACATTCAGATAGGCCTTTCTGTAAACCTCTCTAAACTCTTTCCAAAAACAGAATGGGCAGCTTTATTTTCTGGAAGCCACTTTGCAATGGCAATGCTTAGAAGAATCTAGGATGTTTCAAGAAACTGAAAGTGCTATGTGGTGAGTGACCGATTCCTCTCTCTTTCCATTAAGAATTGAATAAACTTACCTCACTCTGGAATTTGCTCTACAGTAGCAGGACTGCTGTCATATAACAATTTTCTTCCAAATTTTAGGCTTGCTTTGATAGCTGCTTTTTTATTTTGCTTTCAGATATGTGTGGAAACATGAGGAAGAAAAGAAAGATGTTCCACATGCCATAGATTATAGATCCCTGTGACTTTTTCCAGGGTGAATGTGCCCTTAAATAAATATTTCCTAAACCTGTTACAGTATTAGAATTTGCTTCCGGCTTCTTTGTGCAAATTAAGATTGTAAGGGTATGCTCACATGGAACTCTGCTACCTTATGATTAAATAGTAGGTTTTAAAGATGGAAAGTTTAGATAGAAACTGTAGTTTTGACATACCTCTTTAATATTCTTTGGAAGTTGCTGTGCTTAAAACCATTTTTCCCTCTGTAAGTTATGACTCTGCAAAGAAATATCTATGTAGTAATTTGAAATTCCAAATATTCTTAAATGCAGATTAGAGTAGCTTTAGTTAGCGGAACTCAAATTCTGGTAGAGGGCTCTCTATCTCTTCAGAAATTCAGTTGTTTCTGTAATGAAGCCTGAGAATTTATTATTCAGACAAATAGAATCTGTCTATATATCTATACAGGGAAAGTATATTAAGATCCTGTCCCTGAAAATATTCAAGGGGATATGAAATCCTTCTTTGTAATGGCTTTGTAATGGCTCCTACATTATGGAACTTCTCACCTCCAGAATTATGTTTGGCATCCCTCCTTTTGATCTTCTGCAAAGTGATAGAACATTGTGCTGTTTAAACAGGCATTAGAAGGATCATTGTTGTGGAATGATTTTATGATCAGACAGCTATGTCTCTTCTTTAATCCTTATTGTTTTTGATTGGTTGTTGTTGATGTTTTTAATTTTTATTGTAAATTGCCAAGAATTCTCCAGAGAGGGTAGTATAGAAATGCTTGTAATAAAAAATAAACTTCCAGTTCTGCCATTTTTTTCTGTATTATTTTTAGAAAGGGGACCTAGTTACTCCCATTTTATAAAATGCCATAAGTCATATAGAGGGCATTCAATAATATTAATAGTTGTAATAGTTCAACATACACAATGTATTTTTCCCAATTCAATATGCATAGGATTACAGCCAAAAAATTGTAGAATTATAGCTTAGGAAATGATAGATCCTTAGCCTTGATCTAGCACACTTGTGTACAGCTGTATACTCTGATATTATAATAATGCTTCTTCAGACCTAATTTTCTTCAATGTCACATTAGTTGAATAATAGCACATTATACAGAAAGTTGCTTCATCAATGTGAAAGTTAAGGCTGCAGCTTTATTTTATTATAAATAATGGCTCCTTGAATAATACATACATTTATGTAAATAACATCAGTTTCATTATTATGGTTCCACTCCGTTGCAAATATACGTAAGTATTGTGTATGATGAAAATTAGGCTACAATTTACTATGGAAAGTTAAAGTTCCCTGGACACATATGATAGCTTTCATTTCATTGCTAGGACTATGGATTTCAGCCATATTGTACAAAGAATAGATGGTATTATGGAGATGGGTCTTTCTGGGAATCTTCCCAGAGAATAACAGAGAGCATACATTAAAATAATTATTGCTAAGTGTTAAAAGCTGCCTGAATTTTAAAAAGGAACATAAAAGGAAATGCATACTGTTATTACCAGGATTTTAATAATAGAATAATTGAATATTCATATCTGATTGAAACAAGAGTAGAAAGTTAAAATTTTGGTGTTGAAAAATATCTTGTAAGAATTGGTGCTTTTCAGAATAGATTGGATTCTAGCCAAGGATAACGTAATTAACTTTTCTAGAGGCTAATACTAACTGAAAGTCCAACAGTTTTAGGTTACCCATAATTGAGGTCCTTTACATTCAGTGAAATTTATTTCTGAATGGATGTAATAATTTGTTATTTCTCTATAGGGTGGTTAAGAACATAAAATTACTCCTCAATTCATTGTTATAGAAACTTCAAGTATTTAACTTGGAAATGAAAAAAAGATAATTTGAATATTCAGATTATGAAATCATTGTTGAGGAAAATTGAGGAAATATGACATGATATGACATAGTGGTGACCTCCTTTGCTTTATATTAAAGCATATTAGTTAATGTTAAAGAATTTCTCGATTATCTGGTCATCAATCAGATAATTTGGTCAAAATTCACCAAAGAAATATGAATGTTAATGGATTCTGTTTTTATTTGCAGTAGCCAAATTGCTGTCTGATTCCAGCGGAGTTTAGCATAAGATTTCTTAGAATTTTTTCAATTGTTCTTTGTTAGTAATTGCATAGTTTTAAGCTGTTCTTTTAACATACAGGTATTAGCTACTTAAAACAGAGTGTATAATAACTGATAGGAGTGTACATTGATGCTTTTCCTGTTAATCCCAGGACCTTGATATTCCTTTATAGTATATATACATGGAAATAAGCACCATCAGACAGGTTTCAGTTATTATATAATAACAAAACATCTGTGACTTTTTAACCAAGATGAAAAGTGGCTTTTTATTCTAAGTTAGCCCATTTGATGACAAGTTTTCCCCTTATGATGCTGCATTTCAGAAAATAGAAGGTTACAAAGTGAGAGTTTTAGTACTATATAGATTAGTGTGTTCTTTGTATTCAAATCCTTAAAAAGAACAATTGACAAATCAACACATCCCCAAGGCCTTCTGGAAAAAATATTGCAGCCTTAACTTCAATTATTCTGAATTGAATAACAGCAAAAATAGGATTTATTCTTTTGTTTAAGAAGATATATTTAGAAAATATACACTACTTGACTCGTTTAGATCACATCTCAGAGCATCCCAAAGTTACTAATAAATTACAAAATTTAAAATAACAGAAAACATTTAAATGCATTATAAAGTCATTTGATTGATTTAATTACATAAAATACTCAAAATTTCAAATCAATTTCATTTTTGGAGTTGTCCTAGCCCACATTAGTGTTATGGCTCCATCCACTTTTTTTGAAGTAGTTTCAAGGATAAAATGTATCCTTTTCAATTAAAATGTTTGTATATCCTTGATGTATAAGATTTTAGCTAAAATATTCTGGACTTCACCTTGCAAGATTTCCAGAACAGATTTTATATATGTGGTACAATTTAATAAAATATAATTAAAACCAAAACCTAGATCCCATACTTTTTCTATACTTGTTTTCCTACTCATGATTTTTAGAAAGGGAAGTAGAAATTTATCACTGTAAATTATTTCTATTGCAAATGAAATTTACCTCTCCAATGTAACACATATAATTTTATTTTTTTATAAGGCAAAATGCTGGCTTGAATTTTGATTTGTTCTTGCAGAAGTAGTAGTTATTTCTTATAAAAAATAGTCTCTTTACACATTATTTTGTATCCTGTCCCATTTGTTATTTGGAGGGGCTCTTTGTTATACAAGGAAGGAAAAAGTAGAAGACCTCTGTTCATTGAAGAGCCTTTGGAGCAGATTATGTGCAAGAGAGGAGGTTATAAGAAAGAAATGTTTTGCATAGTCCATTTGCATAATTTTAAATGAAGGCTTGTAAATGAAAATATTTTAGGATGCAAGTTTGCGAAATTGAAGAATCCTATGTGTAAGAGATTGTTCATTAATTTTTATCTCCCAATTGCAAATATGATAGGAGAAAAGATAAGTGTTTGGAAATCAGAGCAGGATAAATAGGAAAAGAATATAATTACTAGGGTGTAGATCAAAAACACTCCGTGAAGTGAGTGAAGTGATGATTCTTTGAATTTGTTGCTCTGAATGTCAAGGATGCTACTTCTCAGTCTTCTTAGCATGTATGGACATAAAGCATTTCTGGATTGCACTGAGCACTAATAATTATTTCAATTATAGATGCCTCAGCTTAATTACTATAGAAAATTGGGATAAGAGGTTGTTCCAAAGGCTTCTGAAAGGGTTGAATATTGAATAGAGATTTGTGGGTCATAATTTCAATATTTATTTATAAAGTTATTGTTCAAATTTCAATTCCTATCTATTTTAGCCAAAGACGCAGGTTGCATTTGTGTTTCGTGTGCAGCTGACTGAAAATAAGAAACATCTGTGAATCCTGTTTCACTTCTTCATTTACATTTTGAAAATCTGTGGAAAGGGTCACTAGTGCTTCAGATTAGCATTTCATTAATTGTGACCCTTATTTGCTTCATGGTCTTTGGTTATGCTATCTTTCAAAACTTTAAACACGTATGAGAAGAGTCAAATTCTATTTGAATCTTAATTTTTTGGAGATTGTAATTTAGTCATGTCATTGAGGATTGCTGCAATAAATTTTCTTTTCCTTTGCATGTACTTTCTGATTTCATAAATGTTTCTTAAAAATTATGCAAAGATACTTTGCAACTTTTTAGTTAGACCTATAGTATTTAAACATAAACGACTAGTAAAAATATTAATTGCACTTCATTTGCTTCATAACAAGCTTGATCTTTTAAGAACAGAAATACTAACTCTGATTTTATTTATTTATTCATTCATTCATTCATTCATTCATTCATTCATTCATTCATTCGATATGTTGCCCGTCTTGCAGATTGAGGTGACTCTTGAGCGGCTTACAGTGTAATAAAACATACAGATATAAAAACAATTATAAATATTTTATATACTTGTGCCTGACATTCTTAGCTATACCATTTTTCTCAGTTTTACTCTTTAAAAAAGGTTTAATAATAGTTTTGCTGCCATTTTATTTCATTCAGATAAAACTAGAATAAATAATAGACATTGCAGTTAGTTTTGTATTAGTGACACAAAACATTAGCATTGAGTTCACAATGCATGGTATCACTTTTATGCCATTGAACAAGTTTAGCAGCATGGACAGAGTAATCATTATATTACTTGGCTGTCATCCACTGAACAGAAACTGGAGATCAAAAGGTGATTTTCTCTAGCTCCA